TTCACTTAGCTACAAGTACAACCCACTGAACAACTTCACGATGTTGCTGGAACAGTTTTTTTTCAGGAGAAATAGAGCTTTACAGGTCTATTCTGCACGTTACCGAAGATTTTGTAACCGGAAAATTGTATTACCAAAAAATGTTACCAGTTCTTGTCACCGCGATTCTAGGTACGTTGGTAATGCAGTTAAAATATTCAGCAATTCAGCTATGAAGAATTGTGCAAATCCTGGCATTGCATATTTTACGGGGCAATAATTTGTTACCAGCTTATGAGATGGTAACAAAATTTACCGATTACAAGAGTACACAGAATGTGAAAAGGGTTTAAAAATTGACAACAATTTTATTTACCGGTTACAAACTTTTTATTACCAGCGCAGAATAGACCTGTTAACCAGTAGTAGAGCACTTAACGTCTAAATACTGATCCGAGGAGCTGACTTGAGAATTAGGCTACTGATTGGATGTGGTACCTATGTGTGTACATAAAACGCTGTACCAGCTTAGAGCAACCAACAATAGTTCCATTATTTTGACTATACCTTCAGCATTATTTGTATGTCCCTACATCCATAAATGCAGGATCTTTTTATGTGGCAAACATTTTTATTCAGGCAATAAAGACGCCCTCCCGGAGGGTTTGTGGCAAAACTAAAGATGAAATTATATACATACTGTACGTGGGCTCTAAAAACATCGAAATAAGAATAAAAAGCGTGCGATTAAACTGATGAAGGGAGTACTCGTAGAGAGATCTTCTTGAACTTCTTCTACCAAATGAACTAGTCTAAAAAAATCCATACAAAACCGCGAAACTTTCATTCAAAACTAATTTTTTTTTCTTAATAACAAACTTGAACATGCAAACTTGAAAAGCAATCAAAATAATTAATACAACTTAGTTGGACGAATTTATTAGCGCCTTATGCCTGACTCTTCTTTGCCTTACTTTACATGACAAAGTACATTCGCAAGATGCCCACCAACTTTTAACTGTTCATAGGTGCCTGTTAAAGCACCCAATACCCACAGGCTTTCAAATATCGCAAATTTTTTTTTTGTAATTAAAATCTCAACCAGCCAACGACGAGCACACTTAGAAATTCAACGCACGAATAGTACACAAAATATTTAACAACCCGAATTAGTACTAAAAAAAGTGCCATGAAAAGTAAATCAAAAACAATGCTAACACGGATTTTTATCTATGCAAAGCGAGAGTTGAGTGGCGTGCAAACTAAAGCTATTTAAACGAATTAAACATTTATGTATAGAGTGTGTGTGTTGGCGATGTTAACCAGAGCGCCACAACCAAGCGTAGACGCAGTCACGCAGGCCAGTTGTAAGTCAAAAAAGCTTCATACCACATAGTTACGTATGGAAGTATATGTATGTACGTAGGCCCAGTTAAAGAGCCAGTTATTTAGACAACCAATAAGTCTATCTGTCCGTTTGTCTGCTTGTCAGTTAGGCCATAAGCTAAATAACCAACAAGTCATACGCGTTGTTATGCACCTTCACACTTAAACACATACATATGTACATAAGTATGTATGCACAGGCGTAGGAGTGCTTAAGTAAGGAGTTTCGTACTGTGGTGTTTGTCACTGTGTTTTCGCGTGCATAAATAAATAAATTCAAATCCTTAAGTACTTATCGCAAAATCGCCAAGCAACAAAACAAAGGCGCCCATTATTAAAATTTCAATTCCAAACAAGGCGAAAGCGAGACTTTTAGAAGCGAATGGAGGCAAGTATGTGTGTTGATGTTGGCTACGGTGTTGATGTTGGTTAAAAGCGGCGATGCCGCTAAACAACTTTAATTAAATTCATTAGCTTTTAAACACTTTACAACGCTGCGTTCCAAGTCGTAAATCTTTTTCGTTGGCGGCGACATATAAAACCGTAAGGGAAGTTGCACAAGAAGGCAGTCGTAGGGGCAGCGGGTAAGAGAAGATACAGTGGTGGACAGTGCTGTGTAACAAAACATAAATGTTGCCAAGTGTTTGGCGTGTTTGAGGCAAACTGGGTTAGATAAGGTAACATAAGATAATATACGATACGATAAGATAAGTAACGATACGATAAGATAAGGAAAGTGAATTCAAGGAAATCAAAGTGAAAGAAAGGAAAGCAAAGTTATGATAAGACAAGATACGATAAGATAAGATAATATAAAAGAGTATAAGATCAGATCAGATAAGATAATACAAGTTAAGATAAAATTAGATAAGATCAGATAAGACAAGACAAGACAAGACAAGATAAGATAGGATAAGATATAATAAAATTAGAAAAGATAAGGTAAGATAAAATTAGATTAGATAATAAAAGATAGGATAAGATAACATAAGACAAGATAAGATAACATAAGGCAAGAGAAAAGATAATATAAGATAAGGTGAAATTAAATAAGATAAATTTATATAAGCTAAGTTAAGTTAAAGCTAGATAAGATAAGATAACAAAAGATGGGATAACATAATATAATATAAGATGAGATAAAAATAGATTGGATAAAATTGGATAAGATAAGATGAGATGGGATGAGATAAAATGAGAGATGAGATGAAATAAGATAGGATACGATCGATGCCCAGTCGAAGTCTCTTTTAAAAAATGTTTAATCGTCTTTCTTCATTTACCTAAAAGAGGTAGTAACGGGCTTTCCCATCTACATCTGGAACAATATCCTGATTAATTTGGGAGATACTGGATCGAGAAACGTACCTTCTTTCCTTATGAAATCTTTAAAAATGTTCCCAAAGTTTGATAGGTCTTTTCGGTGGCGCTTCCAATTTATCGCTTAACCGAATTTGGGATATCTTATTGGCCTGCACTGTTTCTATGAGGTCAGTAGGAAAGAGCAAAAGAAAAGAGGATTTCAGTATGAGTGATTCGGGATTTGATGGAAGTGAGGCAGGTGTTGGACAGACAGAAGGAAGTCTGCTGAAACAATGAAAGACCAGTAACCAGTTAGCGAAAAAGTACTTTGTTGCTTTTGTTGCTGCTGTTATCTAGGATGTGCAGTGAAAATCTTTTGTTTCACGAGCACACACACATTTGCACTCTTTCAAGTGAACGAACGCACTAAATCATGCAACTAAATGCAAAACGGTAGTCAGTGCGCTGTCAGCCAGTTGATGTCTCCAGTGGAGCAATAAAACACAAAATTTTCTGTGTTGTTGCAGTGGGTGAAGCTTAAGGGTGGGGAAATAGCACTGGCGTTTCATTGTAATACACGAAAATTGTGAGTGGAAGTGGAAAATGCACGAAAGATGCAAATGACCAACGAAAAGATAAGAAACTAAGAATAGAATTAAAAAAAAACTTTCATATCCATAGTTTAATATGTACGTATGTATGTACATATATGCAAGTATACATACATACGTGTAAGTGTACTATGTGTGTTTGCATATTCAGATTGAAAAGTGCAAGTGATTTTAGAGCTGAAGGCAAGACACGCCACCAGCAACGGCTGGCAATTTGCAATACAGACGTGCAAACACGGCATTCTTGTCCATTGTTTGTACCTCTCATTGTCTAGCTGTCGCTTTGCATAAATGTTTATGCGAGTGTGTTTGCATATTTAGCCAGCAATCACTTCATTGCAGTGAAAATGACGAAGTGCTACACCATCTCATACGAATGTTGCAACCAGCATAGAGACGCACTGAGGCGCTACGTGCAACAGCCACATTTCACGTACATACATAGATACCACTTAAATACCAGCCAGCGAATGTGTGGGTGAGTGTGCGAGCTATAATTTATTTGCTGTAAAAGCGTTGAACGTCAAGTAATAAAGTAAGTACAAAAGCAGTAGCAGCAACAAAAAAATACATTTACCAAATGTGACGTAGTAAACGAGCGGAAAAGTAGTCGTAAGCGCCAGGAAAAGGAGTGAGGAGAAAAAGGAAGAGAATTGAAATGTAAATAAATTGTTAAAGAAAAAGGTAATAAAAAAACTAATAAAGACAGACGAAACAAGACAGAATGTGCAATAGATGCAAAAAAAAATAAAAATTAAAAAGAAATAAGCGTCAACAGCGCTAGAATAATCAACGTTCAAAGCAACAGTTATGCAAATAATTGCACAATCTCATTCTTATTTAATTTGTAATGTAAATTTGGACTCTTCTCATATCAAACTCTCGACTGTTGCTCAATCATTTATTTAAATTTCTTTTTGATAACCCGTGGATTAGCTTTAGAGAAAGGAAAGAAAAGCGAATGGTTATTGCTTAACTTCGGCCAATTTTTTTCTAAATATTTATTCTGATATTTCAATGGGGGTTGATTATCACAAATTAATTAAACGGTTCAACGGTTTTGGATTTGATTTTTCTGGAATTGTGGGCATTGTCTGTGGGGTGCATCTGAAGCCTTGGCTCACGGCAGTAAGACTGTAGGCACTGGTGAGAGCACTTCGATATACATATTCGGCTTAAGGGTCCACTTCAGTATAAAACGTTCGGTGCATTTTGTACAAATTTGAGAAATTTGGATGAGGAAAAAGGCTATAGCGTTGTCAATTCGATTCGCTATATGTATAGTCATGTGAAAAATAATAGATACACCGCATTTTTACCAGTTTGGCTACTTTTCTGATTTTATGTTTATTATTTCTTATGACAGCATGGCGCACTATCTAACAAAAACCATATATGTATAAATTTTGAACTTTGTATAGAAATTTAAAAAAATTCAACAAAAATTTACAACAACAAACTCTTTATAAAGAATTTTTTGAAAAATTCTAAGCATGCAGTTTTATAGCCCAGTAGATTCTAGCAATTCGCGTTGATTTTTGATAACTAAGTCTTAACTGGATTTGTATATAAGAAATTGATTTTGAAAAAATTGCAAATAGAGAATATAAGCCGTATAGTGAATGAAAAAAAAAACATAAACAAATGTAAAAATTGCGTGCACTAGTTTTCTCCTCTTAATGTATTTTTGTTTTGTTTTAGGGACTCGTGGTCATAACTTACTTCTGAATCGAAGGCCATGCTTGGTTTTATTGTTTGATTCTTTATAGTCCCGTAGACGCTTTCATTTTCTTCACGAAAGTCAATCGAGTTGCCAATTACCTAAAAAAATAAAATGAAACACTTAATTAGAAATGGATATTCCAAGAAAAGAGCTTGATAAATAAACATATTTCATTAGACTAACAGCAGGTTTCACCAGCAATTAAATGGAAAATGATTTTTTATTTGCTGTCAGTTTCCACATAAAATTCAAAGAATTAAAATAATTTTTCACTTAAATTGCTTTCGTGAAATTGGCTGTTATTAGCTATCTAAGCAATGGAAATTAATTTATATGTTGAAATATTGGCATCAAACGATAACTAGTGGGCATATATTAGGGTGTTCGATTATTCGACATTTTTCAAAAACCGGTTTTCGAAAGGCAATTTCAAAAAACCTGGTTAAATCGTATATTTGTTTTAATAAAAGCCAAAATTTGAATAAAACTATTAAAATTAGGAATGGCTTTCATCTAAGAGAACACTAAATGGAACAAAGTCAGTTACTCGTATTTGGATAAATAATAAAATAAACATTAGGTCTAGTAAATATTTAAAAGTTCTGGTATCAACCCAATTTTTTGCATAGTTGTTTAAAATCTTATCCTTGCCTTTTTATAAGTATTTTCTAAAATCTACCCTGATCCTAAACCACCCGTCCCTTTTCCGGTTTCGAACGGAAATGGGTTAAACTGACCGGAAGTCCATTTTTTTTAATGAAACATTCGTGTTTTTACTACAAATTCAGGTGCAGAGGATAAAAGTACGTAACTTGTGTTTGTAACTTTTTTCCCGGGTGTGCCTTTTTCAATCTTTAAATGACCTTCGAACTTCAACTCGTCCTGGACTTCTTAAATTAGTTAAAATACTCTTTTAATCGTATTAGCGGTTTTCGGTTTCGACCGGCAAGGAAAAAAATCACTTGGAAAAAACCGAGTCAATCACCCTACTATATATTCAGTGACTCAAACTAGCATTCTCGAGGTGATCTTGTTTAATACTCCAGAGATTTTTTCCTTTCTATAGTTAAATCAATGTTTCAAATTAAAAAAGAAAATTCATCTTTTTTTAGGTATGCAGTTTTATAGGCCATACAATTTCATTCTAATAAAAGTCATTGCGTTAATTTTTAATATCTACTTGTTTGCTGACGAGTTCTGTGGCTTTTTCATATAAACGTGAATGTTTTATGGAAACAACAGCCCATTCACAAACTAATTACAGTATAATTGACCCGATTTTCAATAAATTGCATTCGTTATGTGGTAAAACTGCAAAAAATGGAAACACATTTTTTAACGCGATTTTTGGACGCGTTAAACTAGATTTTTTTATTATAAAAAAATGTCATGGGATATAAAAATGCATACTTAGCTCTAAATTGAGATGAAAAAGTTGGAAATTCGGATTAAATTTTCTTGATTTTTCAAAGTTCCGCAAAAAGTTTGAAACTTTGATTCAAAGGGTCTTTGTGATAAAATAAACTCTCTTTTTATAGGAGAGTAATAAAAAAAAGTGAAAGAAGTGTCACAAGTAAGTAACATTTTGTGAACGGTAGTTTCAGTTACTGTTTCTAAGCTGCTCTCTGGCAAAGAAATGAGGTAGTTTTTTTTTGATTCCAATCATTTAGTCCATGCAGTGTTTTGAATTCGATTCATTTTTAACTGATAACAAAACTGTGTTAAGAAAATGTCTTCCAGCAAAAGCTTCAATATCGCCCCGCAAAAATCTCCGCTAACTCAGCTGATTAACCGCAAGAGGCACAGCTATACGTATGTAGACTAGGGTTGTAGAAAAGTGCACATGAAAATAGTACAGCCGAAAAAAATAGACTCCGTTTTTTTTTCTTATTTTGAAATATATATTTAGAGGTCGCTCAAAATTTTATATGTATGTATTTTATATGGGAAAAAATCAGTATTTTTCGATCGGAAAACTCTGTTTCTCTTCAGCAGACTTCCAATAATAATAACCAGTTCTTTATTTCACCTTTTTCATGGGCACCCAATGCATTTTTTTGGGTTTTTGAGGGACCTATAATAAATAGTTACTATTAAAAGATGGTTAAATAAGCAATTGGGTATTATAATTGGAAGACTTCTAAAGAAACACAGAGTTTTCGGTTCGAAAAATATTGATTTTCAATATTCTATTCCATTTCTACGATTTTTTTTAACAAAATTCATGGAAAACTTTGAGCGCTTTGTTTCGCATTCGTTGGCTGCATTAAACAATTTGCTGTAAAGTTTTTAATTTATACTAAAGTTACTTATAAAACGTAGCTACTTAGACTAACAGAGGTTATGAATAAACCCGTAGATAGTGGAAAATATGATCAGCGTTTTTCGCCAAATGCCATTTAAGCGGCGACGCTACAACAAAATCACTTTATTCAGCACTTACTTGCAGTCGAAAGCGCAAGCGCAGCTCCTGTCCTGCGACGGCACTCCATCTATGTACATACATATGTAGCAACAGCGTTTGCGCGACCGATCATTATAGGCAGCCGCAGCTGTTAATACACCAGAGCATTACTGGAATTCCATTACAGCGAAATGCCATCGCCGTTACCGACAAATAGATGCGCGCGCGCACGGCATTGACTGGCTACGACTGAGAACACCAAGTTAACCAACTTAATAGCTTAAGTTAGTAAAAAGTCGCCAGTAGCGGAAACCCTTTTAACAGACCATTTAAAGCTTCATGCGCGTTTAGTTAGACTGTTTGTTCTGCGGCGTTGCGCCAGAAAGAAGATAATGAAGGCGGTGATGATGATGATGATGAACAACTCACATGCCGGCTGCCAAGCTCACACACAGTAGCTACTAAATCCGCCAAACTCGAGGCTGAATGGCATACTTGTTTTGTCGACGGCGCGCCTTACTTTCAAACATAATTTGGTCTATGTAGCTCTAGGCACTACTTATGCATTCGCGCTTCATTTACACTTACTACACCAGCAATAACAACAAATACATTAGTACTGCCTTTACTTGGCTGCAATAAAATAAAATTGTTCGGCTTCCTTTTTTTTTAGCCAACCTCACAGCGTGAGGCGTTCTCATGCCGCTTAATAGTCAAGTGTTCTTCATCCTTTTTGGTATGATCCCGGTTAAGATAAGTCACCCAGCCAACGATTGGAATCAGCCTGCGACGTGTCGCTTTGTGCTGCTTAGGATGCTGTCAACGGTAACCAAGTCCAATGGAATTACCAATACCATAAAAGGTTGTTAAAAGGTTTCAACTGCGCGATTCCATAAAATTCCAAGCAAGCATAGTTGGCACAGCATTTTGCACACATCAACTCACTGCGTGTTGCCGTTTTTGGGGGCTTTCACCTCAGCCTCAGCCTCAGCCTCAGCTTAGCTCCCGATAGCAGCTTAATACATATTTGCAATATGTATGGTCAATTATTTTATCGCAGCACGATCGCTAATCACATACACACCCATGGAACAGGACTGTCATGTTGTTGTCGTTGTTGAACAAATGTTGCTGCCGATGAGGTTACAGTTGTAGTTTAGCCAATTGGCCATATTTGTGCTATCGTTCGCTACTTGCCACTAGCTGTTTTGTTCAGGAATTAACAAATATTTGCGCTTTTATGGTCATTGCTGAGATGACAGCAGCATTTGTTGGGAACCACAAGTTCGTATTATAATATTTTAAGATTACTATTTTAACTTTGTTATTAGCAATGCTGAATTTCGTGAAAATAGTTCCGAATCTTTGCTTTGATGACTCGCTTGGGAAATTTCAAAAAAAAAATCCTTCCCTTTAAAACTCTCAAAATACATAGATATATGTATATGGATATACATTAGGATGCATCACTGTCCATACAAAAAAAAAATGGCACCGGTTTTCCATAAGAAATATAAAACTTATTATATTCGTATTTTAAGACTTCCGCCAAAATATTTCGTGAAAATTTAGGTGAGCTGGACCTAATTGATTATACCACCAAAAATCTAGTTATTAAGCGACTTCACAAAAAGGAGAAAGTTATCAGTTCGTCGAAATATTTTTTTTTTATGTATGTTACCGCATAACTTTGGACCATGTTAACCGATTTCTATAATTCTTTTTTTAAAGGAAAGGTGTTACCTCACAGGTGGTCCCATACCGATCATTGGATCATAAAGAAATTAACGATAATCTTTAATTTTTATATGAGATTTGAAGTCGGTTTTGTTTTTTTTGCTTAAAAAGTAGTTGTTAAAAATGTTTTTTCTAAAAATCGTCTCAGATGAAAGAAGAATTTAAGCTAAAAATGTGCGCTTAAAAATGTTTAAAAAATGTATAACTTAATCAACATAATATTATTTTTGGAGATATTTTCAAATCCGTCTAGCTTACGTAAATTTTAGTATTTTTCTGAAATATTTTAGTGGAATCTTAAAACATAATAATTCCGTTGGAAAACCGCAACTTTTTTTTTGGTGATACACCCTAATGTACATATTATGACAATCGAAATTTATCAATTTCAATTCCAACAGCTAACTAAAACTCGTTAGATGCTTTAATATTTATTGAGATGAGCAGAAGGCACTTTTAATACTCACGAATAGATCAGTTAAGTTTTCATAATAAAATTTAATTGCCGGTTGTCGAAGCTAATTTCCATAACTGGCTCTTCTGCAGGCGGTAACCCGAGTCCCGCGGAAGCGAAGTCGTCTCCTTTAGGAAATGGCCTGCACGACCGGCTCTACGATGGAAAATCTCCGAATTTTACCTTCGGAGGGAAACTACAGGCAGAATCGTATCAGAACAAGTAACGGCCTTTCAATTTGTTATAAGAGGGCTTTCTTCCTCTAGAAAAAAGCTCAGGACCAAAATTTTTAGAGAAATCGCTAGAAAGGAGAACTTTGTACCGGGGTAGAGAGGACGGCGCCATCTTCAAAAAGGAGAATCCTGGCCCACCTCCAAGGAGAGAAAAGATGAAAGAGCTACCCTTTCATCTGCCGAGTCTTCTCAAATTCATGACCTGCATGCATGACTGGAAGGTTATTAGGCTAGAGATAAGCGAGAAACTGTATCGGAAAGCGCTGATAT